AGGAGGGAGAAAGGGAGAGAAGGAGGAAATGTCACAATGACCCCCACATTATTTGTCTTTAAGGAAATGAAAACTAAGACCACGATGAGGTTCTTAATTAGGAAAAAACTGAGCCAGGCAGTGGTGGTGCATGCCTTTAAAACCAGCACTCTGAGGTAGAGGCAGGCAGTCTCTGAGTACAAGGCCAGCCTCGTCTACACAGAGAAACCCTGTCTCAGAAAAGTAAAAATAAAAAAAGAAGAAGAAAACTAATCAAATAAGTATTAGTAAGAATGTGGGGAGCTGGAAGCCCTAAACTTTGCCCCCGCAAGTACAAGGTGGGACTACGAATAGCCACTGTGCAAAGCAAATTGGCAGTTTTTAACAGCTACGCATCCATTCACACTATGTAATCTAGCAAAACGTCCTGCCTAGAGGAAATGAAAACCAGAGGTCATATAAAAATCAACACAGCATTCTTTATATTTGCTCAAAGCTGGAAAACATGGCCCAGGAGATGGCTCGGTGGGTAAAAGCGCTTGCCACACAAGCCCAATAACCTGAGTGTGACACCCCAGAACCCACGCTGAAGGGAGAGATACAATCCCCAAAAGCTGTCATCTGATGTCTACATAATCTGCTCATGCCCACACTCACACACAAAGAAATAATAATAATATTAAAGTTAAAAAACTAAAGACAACCGAATGCATCAGCTGGTGAGTGAATGAACAAAACATAATGCAATTATACCATGGGCAGAACTCAGCAATTTAAAAAACAAAGGTGGAGAACATAGCTTGGTGGCAGACCAATAGATTAGCATATGTAAGGTCTGGGTTCTGTCACAAGCAAATAATAACAATAATAATAATAATCAATGAAGCATTCACCAAAAGAAGGGTGAATGTTTTCTGAGGTGATGGTATGTTCCTACCTGACTGTTGGTGGTGGCATGATGGTCGAGAAGGGTGAAGTTTATCAAATATAGCCCAAAAGTTGTTCTCAAATGATGTGGGGGTAGTTAGCAGGCTAAGTCCTACAGGCAAAAATAAGACAAGGGTGTACTTGCTCTCTCCCATGACCTCACTGCTCTCCTGGGCCCAAGGAGCTCCCGTGGGCCAGAGAGAAACAAGTGAGGTGGACTCTGAGCATGCTTTGAGCCCACGCTTGGCCATTTTCCAGTCAGGTCAATGTGAAGAGACTGAGTGTACTCAATGGCTCTCACTCTAGCATCCAGAATATGAAACCAAATCACCTATTTCATGGATTATTTGAGACACAGAAAAGACACCCAGCGTGTTGCCTGGAGCACAAAGGGCATCTCGTGAGTGTGGGATATGACCTGCTTTTACTGGGTAGTCTTTGGTAGGCATACTTCATGCTAGTGAAGGCAAGGTGTCGAGACCACTGAACTCAGGTTGGGGTTTATCCTAGCACGGTTTCTGAAAGCTGTTCCTAAGTAGAATTTTAGACTTACAGTTGGTAGTTTCTAGATCTGAGAAGTCAACCAATTAATCATAAATATTTGAGGGTAAATCTTCAATAGTTCTAAACATCCACAAACTTTTTCCTGTCCTTACTCCCTAAGGATACAGTGTAGCAACTATTTACATAGTTCTTACATGATGCTGATTTTATACATCACCTAGAAGGGTTGGAAGATGTAGCTCAGTTGGCAGAAGGCTTTCCCAGCATGCATGAAGCCTTGCCTCCAGTCTTCAGCACTGCACAAACCAGGCCTGATGTAATTCCAGCACTTAATTCCAGCACTGTAATTCCAGCACTTAGGGTTGGAGGCAAGACTGAGAAGCGCAAGTTCCAGGTCAGCCCCTGTCATGTAGCAAATTCAAGGCTACCCTGGGCTACATGAGATCTTGTCTCAAGAAGAAGAGGGAGAATCATTATTGTCATCAAGTCAGGGTCTATAAGATTAAAAATACAAAATAGACATAAATAACCTTTTTTTGCAAGGGAGTCCCTGACACTAACACTAGAGGTATTATCTGTATGTCATCTTTGAAAGACTATCATGGGCTAGGGAGACGGATCAACAGATAAGAGCTCTGCCTGCTCTTCCAGAGGTCCTGAGTTCAATTCCCAGCAGCCACATGGTGGCTCACAGCCATCTATACTGGAATCTGATGCCCTCTTCTGGCATGCAGATGTACATGCAGATAGAGCACACATATATTAAACTATATCATGCAGTAAACCTAAGGAGTAATATTTTCTCACAGCCCGGTGACAAGTTTCACAAGCCCAGGGAGCAGGGCTGGCTGGGACTGCTGCCCCTGGGAAGAGCTGGCCAGCCACACACTGCAGTGCGCAAGGCCAGTTGCACATCCCACATCTCAAGAAACTAGAGCGACGCTTTTGATCTGCATTTCAAAATGGGAAACCTGTCCCGAGTGTGTATAATTCAGAAGTGATTTGTATATGTTAACATAGAAATTATATGGGAAACTCTTGTGTTTCTTGTCGTGTATTTGTTTTCTTTTTTTAAAAAAAAAAGTTATGAAAAACCCAATAGCAGAAGAAGAAGAAAAACAAAACAAAACCCTGGTCATTATCTGAGAATTTCAGGCTATTTTCTAATATACCAGGAAGAGGAAGACTAAGGTTGTCAGAACAATGGGCAGTGGTTAGGTATTTAACTTTTTTTTAAGCTTTAAATTTTACTTAAAATTATGGTCCCTTGGGAGATGGCTCACAGGATAACGTGCTTGCTGGGCATGTGTGGGGATCTGACTTCAGATCCCCTCCACCTACAAGAAGTCCAGGTGGGCATGGCAGCTTCCCTGTCACACTCAGAATGCAGGGGGCAGTGTTGCTAGATGGAGAAAGCTGCTTAGCTAGAGTCTCCATCTCTGTGAGCTCTGGGTTCATTTGAGAGATCCTGCTTCAACACATAAGGTCAAGAGCAACCGAGGAAAGCTCCCATTGTCGGCATCAAATGTCTCCATGCATGATCATGAACACACAGATGGCTACATGTGCAGATATGAGCTACACACACACACACACACACACACACACGCACACACGCACCTACCACACATACATTTATTTGCATGCAAAAAATCCAGAATCATGCTTTCAATTTTTCAGAACATTGTCTTGCAAAGTAGCTTTACCTGTGGCACAATGTTTACCTTAGATAATGCCACTCAGTCCCTTTGAAAAGAGTCAAAGTATTCATGCATTTTGATTGCTTAAACATACAAAGATCTGATGGTGCTTCTCATTCAGTAATATGAAAAAATATATATAAGAAATAAATGTCACACACTCACACCTCTCCTTGGCTTTCCATTTCTGAATGGAATCGCCAGCAGAGCTGGAGAGCTGGGACATAGATGTTGATGGAGGAGGGAGCCCAGTGGATCCCACAGGGACCTTGAGAGCTGTGGGCCTGGGTGATGCAAGCACTCCATGACCTGTCTTTCTACTTCTGCCCCACCCAGCAAGCACCTGCCCTGCTGTCAGGGACAGGATAGCAATGAGTTCCAATCTGAGTGCCTACCTCTCCGCTGCCACCTGCCAAAGGGTTCTGCTTGGCCCCACGGCACCTCTACACTTCCCCTGGATCCAATCCCTGTGACAGGCTTTCTGTGGCTTGGTCTCCTGAGGGTCTGCTCTCTTGCTGTATCTGGCCCCTAGCCTCATCCCAATTAGTTCAGGGTCTGACCCGTGTGTGGTCTCTATTGTGATTAGTGCTGTGAGTGACAACCACAAGAGCCTGCTCCACTATGGGGGCAGCTCTCCTGGCTCTAACATGGGCCAGAAAAGTTTGAGAGAGCCGCCCAGAGATAGGCAAGAAGCCTGCACCTGTTGGCATTTTTCTCCTTAATTTGTGCTGGCCTTTCCCAAACCAAGAAACCAGATAAAGGGCCTGCCACTCATCCTGCTTATTAGCCAGGTTTAGGCTCATCCTGGGCACTTTTTAAACTGCCAATGGAGACTATACGGATATAGTATCCAGCCGCATCCATCTTACATAAAGTCTATCACTTGGAGAGGAATTAAGTGCCCCAGAGCTAGTGACAAGGGCAGTTCTTTCAGAGGCCCCTGATGCCATAATGGGTAAGCATTACAGCTCTTCAGTGAACCGAAACTCACTGTTCATATTTAACCCATGGTTTGCTTTAAACATAAAAACTAAAATCATCATAGTAAGCTATCCATCACTGAGCAGCAGGCTCAGTAATAGTACTGAGGCTGAAGCAGGAAGATCATAAATTTGAGGCCAGGCTGGACTCCCTGAGACCCTATGGCAGATTTCTTTTATGTTAAGGAACCAATTTAATCCATCTACTTCAGTTTGTCCGTTTTTAATTTTTTATGTGTATGGGTGTTTTGCTTCATGTGAACAGTGTGTGTGTGTGTGTGTGTGTGTGTGTGTGTGTGTGGTGCCTAAAGAGGTCAAAGAGGGCATTGGATCCCCTTGGACTAGAATTACAGATGGTTTGTGAGGTACCATATGGAAGCTGAGAATCAAATGTAGGGTCCTTTGCAAGAACAGCAAGTACTCTTAAATCTTGAGCCATCTCTCCAGCCTTCCATTCTGATCTTACCTCACATAGAAACACCAAAAGACAGCTGCTAAGACAAACCTTAGACTCTCTGTGTCTTCCATTGCTGGGGCAGTTGCTTAGCTCTCAAAAGTACTGAATGCTAAGAACCTTACAATTGTGTTCTTGTTTTATAATTAATGACTAATACTTATTTTTGACTTACAGGTTTTGTTCTGGGGAGTTTTGTGAACAGTAGGAAGGTTCTGTAGCTTGCATGAGTAGTGAGAGCTGAACTTGTCAGATGCCTGCTTTGTGTCATGCCGAACCATCCGTGCACACGACAGTGTACGGATGTTTTTTACAGTGTACAGGGTCTTTTAGTTTGGACTTCCACACTAAAAGAATCCTCGCCCTCCTCGCAACTCCTGTCTTGCCATTTCCTTTTGCTTTCTGATTTGTAGAATGTCCTGACGTGCGTTTTCTTTTCACCCTTTCCAACCTTAGGAGTTCTTTGATCATGTGAAGAAGCTGTGGGACGATGAGGGGGTGAAGGCCTGCTTTGAGAGATCCAACGAGTACCAGCTGATCGACTGTGCACAATAGTAAGTTGCTTCCCTGGCCAGGCCTCCTGAAGAGTAATTGCTTTCTTGGCTGTGCTCTCCCTCCGGGGTTTCCTAAAGCAGGGAACAAGTGTAGCTTTCGTTCCCAAAGTTGATTTTCTAAGGGAGGCGCGTTCAGTAACATTGTTTCACTGAATAAGGTGTACTTAGTAACATTGTTTCACCGAAGAAGTTGTGTTTGGCAACGTTTCACTAAAGGTATGTTTGGGAACATTGTTTTGCTCAAGGTGTGCTTAGTAACATTGTTTCACTGAAGATGGTGCGTTGGTAACATTGTTTCACTAAAAAAGGCGTGTTCGGTAACATTGTTTCTCAGAAAAAAAACAATAGGCTTCATTCACTTTATCTTGATGGTTTTCAGCTCTAAGCATTTTTTCCTTCCTGCACTGTTAAAGGCATATTTGTGAATCATAATGTACGTAAATATTCATTATTATATTTTAATTTTGAAGCAAGGCTCCCCAAATTAACTTTTAATATCAAATTTATAGGAGTGGAGAGATGGTTCAGTGTCTGAGAGTTCAATATCCAATATCCATATGGCAGTTCACAGCTGCCTAAAACTTCAGCTCCAGGGGAGCTGGTGCCCTCTACTGACCCCCTCAGGAATCTGCACTCGCATGCACAGCGATACACACACACATATACCTTGTTTAAAATAAAATAAAGCCTGTTTCCTATTGTTTCCCTGCTGCACACTGGGGTTTGGCATAATGAAGTTTCCACTGGTCTCAGGCAGGTTCTTTCTCCTTTCTCTGCTGTTTTGGGGATGCTTCTGGACTTGAACCAGCAGTGGCTTCAGTGTGTTCTGATGATTGGCTGAGAGTGAAAATGAAAGCAGACTCTTTGATTATGACACAGAAGTGAGAGTGGACTCCTGGTCGTGCAACTGTCCTGTAGCCAGGGTACAGAGCGTCAGTGATGGTTTTTCTTATTATTTTGTCTCCTCTGGGATGAATTTATGTTCCAGGAAAATGATGTTTTCATATTGTCCGAGATCAAGTACAGGCCAGTGTTGGATCTCACTCACAGGTGGTTTGCCTTGTGGAGAGGCTTCAACTTTCTTCTCTGGAGCCTTTTGGAATAAATGAGTATGATGTGAGTGCCTTCAGTGGTGGCTCTCAAGTACTAGGACAACAGCTGTCTGTTTCCTTGCAAAGTAAAAAAAAAAAAAAAATGTGAATTAATAATCCCTGTGTTAAGACCCCCTTTGTTCCCTTCAATACAGAAGCAAGTGGTGCATGCTAGCCTGGGACCCAGGTTCCACCATACTGTTGTTCTGTCCATTTCATGACCAATGACATCAGTAACCTGTTTAAATGACCTCTGGGATTTGGAATAATACAGCTCTATAATGTCATGATGTAATTAGTTAATTCTAAGTGCACTGGAACTTTCTCTGTGAAAGTCAAGCTCACAATAAAGCTCTTGTTGTATGAGAAAAAAATAAAATAATTGTTTTCAGAAGTGTGACCAAGGCCTGACTAAGAGCACGTGGCCCTCCTTATGCTTATTACAAAGTTGAGGCAAGGGGATCATGATTCTGAGGTCTGCCAGCATTATATAACATCTATTAACCTACATGCCAAAGCAGAAAATGGCAGCAGCTGGACTCTCTAGCATAGGTCACAATGACGATGAAATTCACACGTGTTTGCACGGGAAGTTGGCGTGCAGTATGTTTCACCATCCTTGTAGACACAGTGTTACCCATCATAGTCACATGAGGAATTTCTTTTCTTAAACAACAACAAAAAGTGAAAACTTCTCTTTTGTGTTGGTGGAATGAAGAGTGAATAATTTAGTTTCAAGTGGAATGTGCAAAAAATAAATCTTTTTTTAAAGTGGCATGAGTTTGGCAGTGGGCAGACCAAGAATCGGATGAGATAACAGCTCTGCCACCACCTGCTGCCTGAGACTTGGGGGGGGGGAAAACAAAACAAAACAAAACAGTGGCACCTGGTCCCATAGAGCTGTGATAGGACAAATAATTTAGATACTCAAAGCTCATAGAATAGTACCTGGCATACCGTTGAGCTAATCTGTGACTGATACCCTGAGGCCAGAGAAGCAGACTGAGGCAGCCTAGAATCGGTTTCCCCGTAACAGACACCACCACAAGAGATTTCTGCTTTCTTTCACTTCTATCCTTGCAAACTACGGAGAGCCATGAATAAAAAGTACCTCATAAATGAGGTTCCCAACCTCAAACTGAGATGCCCCTTTCAGGTTTGTTAGGGATAAAGCCCAGTTTTCATAACCTCAAACCTCCAAATCACAAGAAGCCACCCTGCAGCCTTGTGAAGCTGACTCTTCCTAACTCTCCTGCAGACTTGTGAAGCTGACTCTTCATAACTCTCCTCCCATCACCGCCTTATCAATTTTAATGTGTGAGAGTCATATTGACTCAAAACCATTGTCTCCTATCAGTGATCTTGTTTCACTTCTATGCTCAAGTTCTGGGACTGGGGAATGGAGAACCCAGAGTGTATTAAGTTGCTAAGTAAATGTAAGAAAACTGGAAGCTCTATCTCCCATCACCGTTGCTACCTAAAAGAAAGGATGCACATGCATCACATTGCCTGAGGGGTGTGACCATGGTGCTATGCTATTTGTCCACTCATAAGGTTTTAACCTTCTCTGGGGAATGGGTCCCGTTCATATTCGTGAAACCATTTCTCAGTTGGGCATTGCTGTGGGAAGGTAGCCTTTGCCAGTTGTATATGTATCGGAGTCAAATATTGCTGATGACGTGGACATCTCTGAGAAGCATGTCGTTTCATAGTTCCATTACTATACAAACTCCATAGAGCATACACGTTTATACAGACCTGGATTGCACAGCTCCTCGACAACCTACCCAGGCCACCAGGTAGACAGATACAGACACATGTAAATGTGTACTAATCTACTGCTCCTAGGACTTTGATGAATAAAACAACTCAAGATTAGGTCAAGCACAGAAGGCAAGAAACGATGCAATCAAGAGACAAAGTAGGGACTGGAAGATGGCTCAGAGGTCAAGAGTGCTTCCTGCTCTTCCAGAGGACAGGATTGCAGTCCCCAGCACCCAGGTGGCCCACAGCTACCTGTAACTACAGATCCAGGGTAGCCAATGCCTTCTGTTGGCCTCAGAAGGCACCTACACATGTATGGCACACACACATATACACACACACAAAATTGTTTTTTGTTTTTTGTTTTTGTAAAGAGACAAGGTAGACACCAGGCATGTGAGGCAGCTGCTGTCAAAACTCAGCATGCTGGTTTACCGTCCACTTTTTCCCCACACGTAGGAGGAACATACTCTGAAATCGCCGTAGAAGGTTTGGTATGGTAAATGCTGCACAGTCATTTCCTTGCCCTATCAAGAACGACGTGCCACACATGACCTGCTGATCTTTCATCTGGCCAGCAGCCAAGTGTGTGGTTCGTGGCGGCGTCACTACAGAAGCTTGGGATTGCACTGTGCCGCATTCCAACAGCCGTGAGGACTGGGAAACAGATCTGTTCCACCCCATACGGTCTTAGAGACCACCATCGCATACTCAGTCCAGAGACTATTGAAGTTTCACGTGTGGCACGGGGTTGTAACTGAGTTGACAAAGCAAGAGCTCCGTATTCAGCGTACCACTGACTGGAGACACTGACCCTGACTCCTTCACAAGTCGACACCACACCCTAGATTCTCTCACACTTCGGCTTACTCTTGCCGACCCCCGGGATCTTGACGTGGTTTCCTTTTTGCCTCATCTGAATTGCCAGAAAATCTGACCAACCTCTCCGGTGACTGAGTCACTGCACTGTGCTGCTCAGCAGCTCTGCACTTTGAACTCTGGTGCTTACTTAGGAGCCGTCTGCCTACGCATAATCCTCAGAACTGTTTGGGGAAGAGTTCCTTGGTGCCGCTGAAGTTCTGCTAGGGCCTCAGGAGACTGAATTGCCTACTAAGACCTAAGAAGCAAGGGCTACTGGTGCCAGCTGGCAATCCCAGATATTCAGGAGTTTGAAATAAAATAGCAAGTTCAAAGCCTTTTCTCACCTATACGGTGATCTTGAGGTCAGCTTGGTCAGCTTAATGAAAACCTAGCTCAAAACAAAACTATAACGAGGGCTCTGGCTTTAGTTCAATGGCTGCCTGGCATGCAAAAGGCTCTCAGTTTAACTTTCGGTACCAGGAAAAAAAAAGTGACATCATAAGACTCTAGCACTTCACAAAAGGCTCAGCCTATAGAGCCAGCTCTTCACTCTTAGATACATGCCCAAAAGAATTACAAACAGGGGGCTGGAGGAATGGCTCAGGGGTTAAGAGCACTGTCTGCTCTTCCAGAGGTCCTGAGTTCAAGTCCCAGCAACCACATGGTGGCTCACAGCCGTCTATGCTGGCATCTGATACCCTCTTCTCTTCTGGAATGAGATAGAGCACTCAAATAAATGAAATTTTATATAAAAAAAGAATTACAAACATACATCCATACAAACAAGTGTTGGTAGCAGCTTTACCCATGAGAGACAAAGTCAGACACAACCCAAGTGCCCATCGACAGATAGATGGGCCATGTCCTTGCAATGGGATATAGTCAGCCACAGGCGAGAAAGGCGGTACAGGTAGAAAATGGACAGTTCTGGAAGACATGCTAAGTGATGGAAGACAAACCCAAAGGGCCACAAATAAATGGTCCATACATATAAAATGTCCATGAATGGCAAGCCCTTAAAGGCAAGTGGGGGTGAGGAGGAGAAAATTAGGGTGAGTGGATTCTTTCAGGGATGATGTGTATGTTGGTTACTTCCATGTTTTTATGATAAAAATCCCTGACAGAAGCAACTTAAAGAAAAAAATAATAATTTGTTTTGGCTCATGGTTTCAGGGAGTTCAGTCATCATGGCCAGTAGGGCACAGTGAAGCAGCTCATTCACATCATGTCAGGCCAGGAGCAGAGAGAAATACCAATATTCTATTGGATTTCTCCTTTTTCCAT